GCATTTTTTAGACCATAATATTGTTTGTTCTTTAATTATCTCTGTGATTCTGGAAATACATCTAAATACAATGTAACTAGTTATTTTATATCTCTTCTTAGACCACAGACTAAATGAACTTATTAAACTGAGTCTTTATTGAAAATGGAGAAACGTCTTTCTGTGGATTTGTACTGATAAAAAGAAATTTCCAGGGGACCCAGAGTTACTAGCCATGTTGCTTGTAGATTTAAATTTAGATGATCTTTCAAATATTATTATAATTTAACCTATTTTAATGGAAAACATTTTATAGGAATTCTTTCCTATAAGATTCAACTAACACATCTCCAGTGATTTCATTTTCCTCTGTTTTCTTTAGCAACAGTCCAGAATGTCTTCAGACATAAATCAGCTAGCACAGTTTAAGTCTATTATTAAGGCTGTAAAACTATTCTTAAGGGAGCCACTAATCCAGATTACATACACTTTCAAACTGCTGGGTGAATTGATTTATTTTAAAATACCACTTTGTTCCACAGATGCTCAATAACCTATGACATGAATAACTGTTCAATAAAAAATTGAGAGAAGTTGAATAGAGTCAGCTGTGTGTGTGTGTCTGTGTGCATGTGAAGTATGGAAAAGAATGTCTCATATATCTTATCAATCTGACACTTTCTACCTTTCTGAAAATTAAGGTACTTAAGCTGTTTTAAGCATAAGATACATTTTATTCTTTATAAAGTTTTCCAGTCTTACTATTATGAAGATACACTTCTAGCTTTTTTCAACCATATTGTTTGATAAATATTTGGAAAATAAAATAACTTAAAAAAAGATGAAGTTTTAAATGCATATGAAAATTGTTGTTGGAGTAGCCATATGAATTTTTCATTTCCTTACTGAACTATATAAATATGTTTCTAGAATCATTTCATGTACAATATGTTTCTTGGTCCATTTAGGCTGCTGTAACAAAACACCACAGGCTGGGTAATTTATAAACAGCCAAAACCTATCTCTCACAGCTGTGGAGGCTAGAAGCCTAAGATCAGGGTAGCAGCACTGCCCAGTGAGGGTCCTGTTCTGGTCACAGACTTCTCCTTGCATCCTCACATGGTAGAAGGGGCCAGGAAGCAGTGTGGGATCTCCTTTATAAGGGCACTAATCCCACTGATGAGGGCTCCACCCTCATGACCTAATCACTTCCCAAAGGCCCCACCTACAAATACCCTTGGGAATTAAGATTTCAACGTATGAATTTTGAGGGGACACAAACATTCAGATCAGACCATGGCAATATGCAAATATATTTTTTCACTCTCACAAACATTAGTGTTAAACTTTGGTTTTTCAGGCTAATAATTATGTTAGGCTTCTGACAATAAAAGTACAAAAAGTCAAGCCAGAGTTCTCCCATTATTCATAGAAATAGTGAAAAATAATTCATAGAAGCAGTACAGAATAATAAATCTCCCCTTTGGCTTAAATACCTATTTTGTTTTTCAGATTTCACAAAACTTTAACTGAGGAAACTTCACCCCAAGAATTTGATTATAGCACCTTGATTTCTTATGAAATATAGTCACTGGTAGAGGAACTGCACCAAAATATGAGTCATTCCTTTGTCATACTTATGCTTCACTTTTATATAGCCCCTCATAATTATTTATTTTTCTTTTCTCCCTTTTATGGTATTTTCATATAAGATTATGAACCATAATATTTACTAATATTTACTTAGCACTTGCTGAGACAGTCACCATATTATGCACTTTTCATGAGTCATCTTTTAGATTTGCTTGGAAAAACACTTTGAGCAAAGTAATAATATAATTATCATTTTTCAGATAGGGAACTGGGGATAATCTTTTAAGTTACATAACCAGGAATACAGAACTGGTAAGTGGTAGAACTTGTATTTAAACCCGGCTCTACCTGATGCCAGAATACTTGCTTTTAACCACTCTATAACCCTGACTCTATGTTCAGGAAAAGGTCCTACGATGAAGGCACGTTCATGTATCCTAGCACTACTCTATTTCCAGTAGGTCATGATGTCATGTTAGGAACACAGTAGAGTTACAACCAGGTGATGAAATGGCACCAGGAAAATATATTTATAAGTTGACCTTCTTTTAAAACACAGAGGCACACACATGTGTGCCCACACACGTTCAGTACCCAGCAATAGAATAACTCAGTTTATTACCAAAGTAACTGATATTATGGATCATCATTCTTACCAGGATATATTAATATTATTATTATGTGTGGAAGGGCACAGGTGACATGTTTTCTTTATATATTAATGTGTTATATGAATTTGCACATTTCTATGAGGTAGAAGATGGGTATCATTATTCTCATGTTACATAATGGTTACACAGTTTATTGTAGGCACAGAGCTAGGAAATATCCAAAATATCAATCAAGTTTGTGTATCTTAATGCAGAAAAATTCAAAGTACTTTTTATTATGCCATACTGGAAGGATGAGAGAAAGGCATACAAATTCCAAACATGTAGAGAACAATCTATGTATTGTCAGTTTAGATTTCTTAAAATTGATCCCCAAATTCTTCTAATCCCCTTTCTCTTTAGTTAAACTGGTATATAAAAAGAGATGTTACTTTTATTGAAATAATGATAAAAATGCCTTGTGAGTCCTATGGATTTTCTGTATAAATCATGATATCATTTCCCTAGGGAATTCAAAACAATGGTGAATAGGGGATCCAGTATTATTTAGCTAATATATACTTGATATAATTCCTGGTACACATAACTAAGAGGAAGCATTCACAAAGACAAATATTGTTGTATCGTCTGGAAGAGAAGCGAATCTCCAGTCTCTCCCTTAAAATATTTATTAACTTACGGTTCCATGACTTTAATTGTCAGTGACATTATATGGGCATATCTTGAGTATTTGGTCTGGCAAGATTACTATTTCCACATATTTGTAGGAATCAAACTATTACAGGGACTTATGACTAGAAAGATTACTTCAAATAAACTTAATATTGTGATTCATGAATCTCTACAAGCCAAGTATCTAAATATGAATGAACTAACATGTTTTCAGTTTTGCCACAAAGTACACATAAACTGAAATTACTGAACAAAGATTGATATTCTTTACTGATGGTAGATATTACTCAAGGGTTTATGTATTTTACTTTCAGAGAAGAGGATTTTCAGTATATTATCAACCAGATAAAACTAGAATAAGTTAAGACTTATAAAGGTATCCACTACTGCAAAACCATTGTATTAAAATTTTTAATACTTCCAACCTAAATTTCTGTAGCTAAAATGAGGTTTCTATATTTTGGGTGAAATGTTCTCTTATCCCAATGGGATTAACATATACCCACTACTATATATAAAATAGATAACCAACAAGGGCCTGCTGTATAGCACAGGGAACTATATTCAATATCTTGTAATAACCTATAAGGGAAAAGAACCTGAAAAATTATATGTATAATATATATAATTTGTTAACCTTCATAGCTTCATGATAAGAGACTATTTCTCTCTTGTTTAGATTGAATTATTTCTTTTTTTAAAAAAAATTAGAGTATAGTTAATTTACAATGTCATGTTATCAATAGTTTCAGGTGTACAGCACAGTGATTTAGTTATATACATATATAAATAATTCAATCTAAACAAGAGAGAAATAGTCTCTTATCATGAAGCTATGAAGGTTAAACAAATTGTTTTGATATCACTCTTCTACAGTACTGTTTTGGAACAAATGTGAATGAATATTTACATTTTTATTGAATTTAAGTGTGAGATGATTGCATAGCTTGCCACTCAGAATTGTGTGTAAGGCATTGACTGCGCCTCCATAATTCATATTCACTTTTAAAGGATCTTGTTGGATCTGACTCCTGACCTTACTTAACTTGGTAATTTAAATTCTATTAGTTTGGAAGCCAGCGACACATGCATGTTGAAGCTGAAGCTCAAACTTCCATTCACAGACAGGGAACACAGCAGGATTCCTAAACATGGCTCTTATGCAGAATAAAATGCAGGAAGCTGTCCCTTTGCATGTGCATGCTTTAGAAAGTAAGGCTTTCTGCTTTGAACCGTGTTTCAGTTCATATGATTTCCTGGTATGGAAAGCAACAATTTTGAAACAGGAAACTTTTGGCTCCTATGGACCTATAATCAAAGGAAAGCTTCTTACTTTAAAATCAGATTTAGTAGTAAAAGAGTAGATCAAAATAGACTTTATGAATATGTTCATTGTTTTTCCCTCCTATGGAGAATAGCCTGATTTAAGTTTTCTTTGTGATTCTAGAATACATTTGTGAAATACTAATATTTACAACACAGTTTCACTTAGAACACTGAGAACAGTTCCTGAAATATATTGTAATATTTCCATCAGAAAACATTTTATGCGGTGAATAATTAATGCATGAATTAAATAAAATGTACTTTTTGTTTTCCTCTGGGTCATAGGAGCAAATAAAAAATTTCACATTTTATAAAGTTCAGGCCAATGCCTTCTTTAGAAAGAGCAGTAAATTTAAAACCTTAAAAAATATTATTATTTCCAAAAATAAAACAACTTTTATAATCCTTATTTAAATTTCATGTGAAATACTAGGAGCAAATTGAGAAAAGTCCATTACATTGACTTTATTTGAATAAAGTTATAAAATATCTAGTTCTTTTGCTTGTGGTTTCAAACAACTCTATGCTAGTAGTCATTTGATAAGATAACTCTGATACATAAAAAATTAAATTATTTTTATAAAGAAACTTATATTGGAGGATGCAAGGATATTTTATCTGGTTCAAATATAAGTTCAAAAAACATTTTCTAATTTTTTAGTAGCAGAAAATTAGTATCAATGATTATGATTTTGCTCTTTCTGTAAAAACTCTCATGAGATATATAATTATATTAAGATATTAGCAAAAAATAAGAATATAACTCCAGGCTACATGATTCCTAAAGTATCTAATTACCAATATGCATTTCTTTTAAAGTCTCAAATATCCATCAGCGTGGAAGAGTGGGAAGACACCAAAGATGCCAAAGAGCAAGGTCACCACCGAAGTAACCACCGCAACTCAACATCCAGTGACCAGTCCGACCATCCCCTGCTAAGGAGGAAGAGCATGCAGTGGGCCCGAAGACTGAGCAGAAAAGGTCCCAAACACTCCGGTAAAACAGCTGAGAAAATAACCCAGCAGCGCCTGAACCTCTACAGGAGGTCAGAAAGACAAGAGCTTGCTGAACTTGTGAAAAATAGAATGAAACACTTGGGTCTTTCTACAGTGGGATATGGTATGCTCTTTACAAGTATTGTATGATGTGGACTTGTGATTTCTTGCAGTTAGTTGTAACAGAGTTGGCTCTAATTTAGTAACTTAAGAATCACATTTTTGTTTCACAGGTCAGTTTGAAGGGACTAGCAACACATGTCTAATCTCCTAGAGACAATTATAACAATGATATTAAAAAGAGAGCGCTGAAATTTTTAAGTATTTGCTCAGGTCTCTAGACACTGTGCTGAACCCATTACAAGAATTATCTTAATTTTAATTTTCACAAAAAATCTTCCATTTTAGAGATAAGGAAACTAAGTCAAGTAACTTGCTAATTAGCTTGTTAATAGCCTGACTGAGATTTCTATCCAGTTCTGTCTGGCTCCAAAGTCTGTTTTACACACACACACACACACACACACACACAACACATTTTATTTTAGGGCCTGGGATAAAATAAATTTGTGGCATTGGCAAGTAACTAAATGGATGAGCCACAGATGAACCAAAATGTTTCTATAAAATTTGTTCTGTTTGTTGTGATCCAGAAACAAAGAATCTTCAAAAGCTTTCATCTGAAGCTCAAATAGTGCTTAACCTCATACAGTGCAGATATGTCCCAATGATTGTTTTGCTCTTATGTTGATATATGATCGTAATATATATATATTGCATATAGCACAGCTTAAATAAATAATGCAAAGACAATTTAAAAATATGTCATTTATCACTATAAGAATTTTATTTAAAGGAAATTTAGTCAACATATGAGAAAATCAAATAATAAATAAGGTGTTTTAGTTTGTTATATATATATATACATATATATGTATATATATACATAACTTGGGTAAATCAGGAGCTAAGATGTCAGTATCATGTAGGTTTTAAGGGTAACATAGAATAAATGCCGTATTTGCCCCCATCTCATCTTTATTATTAAAGTCTCAACTTGAAACAGTGTACATAGGGAGAAATTTTAATCATTGAACTGGATGGAGTTTAAAAGAAGTTATCTGTGTTTCTTTGAACAAGAAGACGAAGCATATTTACTGAGTACCTAATCTATGCCAGGAATTGTGTTAGGTGCTTTATGTATATTTTCTTATTACTCCTTATAAACACTGATTAGATGTGTGTCCCATTTTGCCCTTCAAGAAGTTGAAGTTTGAGAGGTAAAAGATCTTGCTCGAGGACATAAACTTGAAATATGTTGAAGTCAGGATTCCATAGGTACTTGAAATTCATAATTATATTTCACTTACTTAAAATGTAGTACAGACTCATTCATGATGAATAATTTTAATATAAGCACAAAAGGTCTTATATTGAGGCAAATTAAAAGAAAAAATCTTAATTTAAAAATTATGTTAGGAGCTCTTTGCCAATTTAATGACATGAAGTATGATTGTACTTCTTAGTCCTATACTTACATGTACTTTTTCTAGTTATTATTCAGGTATTTTTTTCCCTTTTTTTTTTTAAGTTCTAGTACGTGATTATCCATCCAAGTTCCAGCTGTGTTTCATGAACATTATAACCCCAGGCTGGTCCTGAAGGCAGTGTGGCAAATAATAGTTTGACTCTGAGAGACACAAGATGCGTGAACTGACTGCATGGGAGAATCATCAGGAAAGCATATTATGTTATTGCTAATAAAACTTCTATCAGTTACCTTACATTTAGCCATTCTCTCTTTTTTTATGTAAATCTATTAATTTAATTCTCATGCTAATTCTTACAGGAAGGAAGAACAGACACTGTCCACCGTTTTTTCTCTTTTCTTTCCTTCTTTCTCTCTCCATCCATTCTATCCATCTATCTACCCATAGATCCATCAATCTGTTCTAAGTCCTGTATTGGGACCCTCCAATAACATAGCGATTATGAAAACAGGATTTGGAATCTAATGCATCATGGGCCTCTGAACTTCTCCATTTATTCCTAACTGACAATAATTCATCCATTCAACAGATATTATTAGGTTGCCTTCTTAGTGTCAGGCACTGTTCCAGGTACTCGGAATAGACCAATGACCTATTCAGACAAGACCTCTGCATTTATGGAATTTATATTCTAGTGTCAGCTGGTAGATTTGTTGTATTATTTAACTTCTCAAGGCCATTTTCTGATTTCTGAAATAGAAATAATAATACCTATGTTGTAGGTTTTGTTGTGAAGGACAAATGGGATAATGAATAATAATGTGCTTAGCCCAGAACTGGCATTCAGCTAATCCCACAGATCTACCATGTATCTGTCTAAGTACTGTGTGTCTGTCTGTGCTTTATACATAAAAAAAGTAATTTTTTTTTGCCCACCTCAAAAAACAAACAAACAAACACATTTTGCACCCTTGGGGGCAATGTTGGCTTCAAGCAGAATACATGCTATGAGACAATTATTGTTTTACATGTTTGCCTTTCTTTTTTCTTTTTTTGGGAAAAAGGAAATGTCTTACTCATTCTTTAATCTTTGTATCCCTAAACCAATTACACATTTCCTGAGACATAGGAACCCAGTAGCTGCATGTTGATTGCATGAACAAATGGAGTGCTTACAGATGAGAAAACTGGGTCTCAAATATAAACGATTTACTTGGATCTCCCAACCTAGTATACACTCAAGTCAGTCCTTTAACTTGTGACTTTTGACTCCATATATTTTTGTGTATCCACTGGACCACTTATTTTTCCTACATTAGTGTCAATATTTTGTAGCGCTTTACAGATTTGAAATATTTTTAAGTGCTTTATACACAATGCATGATGATTGATTTAACCACGAGTCATAATCTGATTTTTCTTGAGTAGGTGTCACCTGATTCAAGAGAATGAATAGATTTCTTTTGACCTATTGGATATGAGACAGAAAGGAGAGAAAAGGGAGTCAAAAGATGACTTTTGAGGGCTCTAGCTGGAGCAAGTAAGTGCATGGTGGTGACATTCACTGAGCTTAGAAGAAGAGGAATACTTTGGGGTGAAGATAATACATTTAATTTGAGTGCCTGGAAGACTTCAAATGGATAATGATCCATAAGAGGCTAGATTTCTGCTGTCTGGTGCTCAAGAAGAACAAATGAGATATGTATATAGACTTGGGAGTCATCAGCCTATAGATTTTGAGTAAGGTCATAGAAGTAGATGGAATAACCCCAGGTGAAGGACTACAAGAGAACTCTAGAAAATACATTCCTGGAATGTTAAGGGAAGAATTATTTTCTTTATAAAACAAGAGGCTGAAGTGTCTAGAACTGAATTACCCAAAAGATGTGTCATAGTACAATAATATGCTATCAGTCGGTTACATGTTTTATTGTTACATTGATTCTTTATACCTTTCAAAGGCCAGGTGGGGCCTGGGTTGGTCAGAAGCTGGTCACTTCTAGTCATAAGCAGGTTTGTCTGCTACCCCAATGTAATATAAAGTTGTATGTCCTATGTGTTTTATGATATGAAAAAAATGTTGAAATTTTGCAGTAGAGAAATGGGAGGGAATGATTAATAGTGCAGAAAGTATAGTGATATGTCATTGCTGACCTTGGTGAGGATAGTATCAGTTGGATAGCATGTGTGAAAGCCAGATTTGAGTAGCGTTAGGATGAATTAAGATCTAGATATAGTGGATTTCATATATTAGGGACCTCAAGATATTGAAAATTTAGTCTTCTGTCTTATTGCTCCATGATCTATTGTTTCCATTGCCAAAGTCATATCACGGTACAAGACGTATGTTGAAATTCCATCCAGGAGGAAGGAGGCAGAGACCAGAGAAGAAAGGGTTGTCTCCTCAATTAAAAGGTATTACCAAGTAGTTGTGTACACCATTTCCACTATGTCCCATTGGCAAGCAAGTATGTTTCATTTTCAGTGGCCTGAATCTAATATTTAGGAAGACAAGGCAAATGTCTTTTGAAAGACAACTATTCTCTGACTCAGTGGATGTTTTTTAAGAAATGTCATTGTGAAGGAGAGGTGAGAAATCTGGAAGAATCTGGATGAGAAAGTAGAGAGGGAAGAGGGACTATTTTTCTTTTATTTTTTTTTAAGGTCAGAGAGGTAAGAGCATGTTTAAATAAGATTAAGCCACCAGTGGAGAAGTTGAAAGAAAATATAGGAAAGATATCACAGTTGGAGCCCTTGTTTAGATATTTGGAAGTGAGGAAAAGATGACTGTTTTAAAATGCATAAACAGGTAGGTATTTTGACAGGAAGTTGAGTAATATTTCACGTGATAGTTAAGAGGTATAATCATCTGTTGAGAATGATGGCAAGAGTGGAAGGGTGAGTTTTTTAAAAATAAGCCAGAATGTTTGCAGCTTCAGAGGAAAAGGTGTCCTTTCTGCGCGAGACTAACCTTTCTGTCTTATTCTTGATTTAAAAAAATTTTAATATAGAAAATTTCAAGCATGAATAAATGTAGAAAGAAAAGTATAACGAACCCACGTATACTCATTTTTCTGCTTCAACAATTATCAACTCATGACCTATTTTCTTCCATGTATATGCCCACCAATTTCCTTCATGTCTCATATTAATTTCAGGTAAATTTCAGACCTCATATATTTCAGTAGATACTGAAATATATAGATAGTAGATCTATCATTTAAGTACTAGTTTAAAAAATATAGCCACCTACCATTTTCACACTTAAAAATAATTTTAATATCATCGAGTGTTCACTTGTTCAAATTTCCAGTGACCTCACAAATGTCATAAATTTTTTAGACTTTATTTAAATTAGGATTAATGAAGGTCTGTGCATGGAGATGGGTGACAAGTTTGTTAACTCATTTTTAATTTCCCTCATTTTGTATTTTTCCTACTGCAATCTATTTCTTGAAGAAACTCACTCTCTGTCCTGCAGTTTCCTAGACTCTGAATTTCCACTCTAAGTTGGCCTATTCTATTCCCTGTCTTTTCTTTTTTTAACCACTTTTTGTTATTATTATGAACTCCTAGATTTAAATGTATTTTATATGTTTTAATCTGTATGTTATTAGATTATTCATCATGTTGT